AGGTCTTGGTGAAGGCGAGCGGCTTGAAGAGTCGTCCTTCCTGCGCCTGTAAGGTGAAAACAGGCATAAAAGAAACGGTGATGATCAGCAGGGTAAAGAAAAGCGTCGGCCCGACTTCCTGCGCCGATCGCAGAATGATCTCGAAGTGGCTGCGCCGCCCTTGCCACTTCTCATAATGCTTGTGGGCGTTCTCCACCATGATGATGGCGGCGTCGACCAGCACCCCGATCGAAATGGCGATGCCGCCGAGGGACATGATGTTGGCACCCAGTCCCTGAAGGCGCATCAGGATAAAGGCGAGCAGTATCGAGAGGGGAATCGAAACGATGGCCACAAAGGCCGAACGGAAGTGGAAAAGAAAGAGGATACAGACCAGCGAGACGACGATCATTTCCTCGATCAAAGTATCGGTCAGGGTGGCGATCGAGCGCTCGATCAGGCCGCTCCGGTCATAAGCGATCTCGATCTCGACATCCTCCGGAAGCCCGGCCTCGAGCTCCGACAAACGCGCCTTCACGCGCTCGATCGTGCTCCGGGTGTCTGCGCCCGCACGCACGACTACGATGCCACCCACCGTTTCTCCCTCGCCATTCCAGTCCGCCAGACCGCGCCGGATCTCCGGCCCGATCGTCACTCTGGCGACGTCCTTGAGCAACACCGGTACGCCGCCGGGGCCGGTTGTCAGCGCGATCATTTCCAGGTCACGTACATCCTTGACGTAGCCACGGCCGCGGACCATGAATTCGCGTTCGGCCATCTCTACCAGCCGACCGCCGACATCGACATTGGAGCGCTGGACGGCTCTCTTGATAGTGGATAGMCCCACTCCATAAGCGCGCATGCGAATCGGGTCCACCTCGATCTGGTACTGCCTGACGAAGCCGCCGATCGAGGCCACCTCGGACACACCCTCGACGGACGACAGCCCATATTGGAGGTACCAGTCTTGGTAGCTGCGCAGCTCTGCCAGAGAACGCTCGGGAGAGTTGAGCGCGTACATGAAAGCCCAACCGACGCCGGTGGCGTCGGGGCCGAGCTGGGGCGTGACGCCCGGGGGCAGCTTGCCGGTCAGCCCCGAAAGGTATTCGAGCACCCGCGAACGGGCCCAATAGAGGTCGGTTCCGTCTTCGAAAATCACGTAGACGAAGGAAAAGCCGAAAAAGGAATAGCCTCGCACGATCTTGGCGTGGGGTACCGCCAACATCTTAGAGGTGATCGGGTACGTCACTTGATCTTCGATCACCTGTGGTGCCTGGCCCGGATACTCGGTGTATAAGATGACCTGGACATCCGAGAGGTCGGGAATCGCATCGACGCGGGTTTCCCGAATCGACCAGATTCCGCCGAGCACCGTCAGCAGCACCGCCACCACGACCAAAAGCTGGTTCCGGAGCGACCACTCGATGAGTCGGTTGAGCATCGSGAACCTCCTCAGTGGCCGCTGTGATCGGCCATAGCCGACCCGGTTTGTTTATCGGCTACCGGATCGGCCGAGGCCGATGGGGCATTCCGCTGAGCGGAGCCGTTTCGAGAGGCAGTGCGGTCGGAGATCATCTTCTGGATCGCCTCTCGCAGAGTCGACTCGGAATCGAGCAGGAATTGGGCCGACGTCACCACTTCGAGGCCCTCTTCGAGACCGCCGAGCACTTCAGCGAATCCCTCCGCTTCATGTCCGATCGTCACATCACGAGGCTCGAACCGGCCGCCGCCGAGCGCGACCACCACCACATTGCGCTGCCCGGTGCGCAGAACGGATTGCACGGGCACGGTCAAAGCGTCTCGGACTTCGACCGGCTGCAGCTGCACGGTGGCGTACATGCCCTTCCGCAGCCTACCGTCGCGGTTTGGGACCTCGATTTGGGCCCGCATCGTCCGGGTCTTCTCCGAGAGCTCCGGCTCGAGGAAGCGCACGCGACCGCGGAAGGTCTCGCCGGGGAAATACGACAGGTTGATTTCAGCCTCTGTGCCTTCACGAACGGCGGCGAGCTGGTCTTCGAAGAGCTCCACGGAAAGCCACAGACTCGAGAGGTCGGCGATGTGAAAAAGCTCCATGCCCGGCCTGACTGCCATGCCTTCGAGGCCAGCCATGCGCATCATGACCAGGCCGCTAGCCGGTGCCGAAACTTCGAGCGTGCGAAAGACCTCGCCGGTTTCTTCGAGTCGAGCGATCTGCTCCGAGGTGACATCCCAATAGCCGAGGCGGGTGCGAGCGGATTTCACCATCGACCATGCGCGATGGCGGGCATCCTCCGGCGCGTCCTCCATGTCGCGGGCGAATTCGAGCGCGGAGAGCAGT